CTAATTGAATTCACGTAGACCATAGTGCATTTCGGGCATAGCAAAACATGCAACAAAACGTTTACCAATTTTTTTTTTTTTTTTTTTTTGAAAATAAAAAATTTCTAATCTCGTGCTAGCTGCTGCACTTGCGCTTCTACGGTACATACGAAATTTAACCCAAACACAGCGCACCAGATTAATTCTTCCAGTCATAATTCTTGGGCGATTATGGTCACAGTACCGCACAGCGTGTTCGTACCTTGAACATTTCTTAGCCATAAGAAATTCGCTTTACAGCGCGATGTCAGCAACATTGCCAACACATCCACGGTGCAACTAACGATTACAACATTACCAACATCGTATAACCACATACAACGCTCTTGTTTATTCGTTTTCATTTCCTTGCGTTATTGGTGTATCAATATGAGTTTTCGGCCACTTTTTTTTCGTTTTGTAGGCAAAATTAGCCGACCTTGTTTTAGAGAATGCGAGAAGACTTGATAGCATAGAAAATTTACTTACGAAGATGGAAAGAAAAATCAGCATTTTTGGATCAGATTTTATTAACATTGACAAGGATGCAAAGRAACCTGCATTAACGGTAAGAGCAAATATGGCTTGGTTCATGTTGGTCAAATAGTGTTGTGCTTGCAAGAGGTTCATGTTTGGTCCAAGCAAGCGTGGCTTGGTTGGTGAGTGTGCTGCCTGCTAAGCAAGGAGTACATACGGTAGTTCGATCCTTCAGTGAACCCGCATACTTGTTTTAAGGAGCAAGTGTGGCTTGGTTGGTTAGTGTGCTGCCTGCTATATATAGTTTGATCCTCAGTGACCTCACACACTTGTTTTAAGAAGCAAGTGTGGCTTNGCTGCCTGCTATATATAGTTTGATCCTCAGTGACCTCACACACTTGTTTTAAGAAGCAAGTGTGGCTTGGTTGGTTAGTGTGCTGCCTGCTAAGCAAGAGGTCCATTGTTTGATCCTCAGTGACCTCACACACTTGTTTTAAGGAGCAAGTGTGGCTTGGTTGGTTAGTGTGCTGCCTGCTAAGCAAGAGGTCCATAGTTTGATCCTCAGTAACCTCACACACTTGTTTTAAGAAGCAAGTGTGGCTTGGTTAGTTAGTGTGTTGCCTGCTAAGCAAGAGGTCCATAGTTTGATCCTCAGTAACCTCACACACTTGTTTTAAGAAGCAAGTGTGGCTTGGTTAGTCAGTATATAGCCTGTTAAATCAAAGGTTTATTCTCATTCACCTAATACCCTTTTTTTTTAAGGTTGAAGTAAAGCCCTCTTCTTCCTTCGAGTCCGTCACAACTCCTGCCACACCCTCTACCCCAGGGTCATTTATGTCAGACACTGAAACTACTTTGGGACAAGCTGAAAATGCTATTAAATCTCCCATGACAACTGTTGGTTCTCCTCTACGTCTACAGGTAATAGCATAAAATGAATTAAGAATCGAAATATATAAATACGAGATATGAGTTACACCTTCAAATCCATCCATATCCCGAAAGAAATTCTGGACTGATGTAAGTCAGAGTACGGTTAACTCACAGATCGAAAAACCCTGAAACAACCTCTGTGCTGATTAAAGTCGGGGCACGGACAAATACTAGTCACAGATCAAACCCTTGAAACAACCTCTGGGCTGACCAAAGTCAGGGCAAGGCTTTACTCACAGATCAAACTCTGAAACAACCTCTGGGCTGATCTAAGTCAGGGCATGGCTAACTCACAGATTGAACCCTGAAACAACCTCTGGGCTGATCTAAGTCAGTGCACGGCTAACTTTGAGATTCCAAACCCTGATCAGCGCACGGTTATAACTCACAGATTAAACCTTTATTCAATACTTGTTTTATGATTATTTACGCAAAATCGAGGCTAAGGCTGTGCAACCGAGGATTCAAATCTGGAATTCATATAATTGTGAATAGTGAATCATTTTCATTGTTTATCCTAGGGAATCCCAATCACTGTGCAATCAAGTCCTGACAATAGTTGGTCAGGCAATCCAGCAATGGTGCAATCCGTAATGCAAGGAGTGGATTCTTCTTCCAAACTAACCAGCCAGGAATCGAGGACTGATTCCCAGACAAAGGGACTGGATATTGATGGGGCATCGAATATTCTGGTTCCGGTGATTTTTGCCTCGGATGATAAAACAAGAAGATGTTCGACTGCTGAGGTTGCTTTACAGGATCTATTGAATGGGAATGTAACCAACCCTGAAGGTATGATCGCATATAATTCTCTCTTCAACTTTTCGTCCTCCACAAAACATGACACACTAAATAGTCCTTTTCACGGTTCCTCTGCAATGGTGAATAACTTATAACAATAAACATCAAAACGAGACGAACGGTGAGTTGTTGCTGTTGATTTTGAGGCATGACTTTATCCCCACCCGGTTGCTACACAGACGAACGTCTGCGTAAGAGGCTACGAGATGTCCTGACTTCTATCAGCCAAGAAGTTGTTGCAGGGCATCAATAAGATTCCATGTCGCGGGTATTGTCGCGATCAGCGCGTCGCAATGAAGACAGAGATATTAATGCTAATATTAAGACTCGCTACAGCCAACCTCTCTGAGAATCACAGAGTCGACAACGAAGCAAGATTTAAAAAAAAGTGAGCGTCGAATTCTCGAGAGGTCCAGCGCGTATGATCCTGGTTGGGCTGCCTGTACTTTATTCAGCGTCAGTGAACTAATACGGAGATACGACTAACTTTGCTAAAGTATAAGTAATGCTTAAAAAAATTATTTCAACGCTGTCGTCCTTTTATCGGTTATTTATATTTCCTTCTTCTGCACAGATAACATACAAGTCTTCCGTGGTAGTTGGTTGGGTGACCGACTAGACCCACACTCCCGCGTCTGGTATTATGGTGATTTCAAAATCATTCAGCGCGCGGAGGCTTCTGGATCGAATCCCGCCAAGCTTTCTTTAAATCTTTTGGAAGCGCTGTTTACTAGAGAAGAAATGGCTTCTTCAAACGTCAATGGAGCAAGAGGAAGGGATTTATTAGACCCCATCAAAATAAAAGCCATTTATGGTAAGCATATTTTCCCTCCTCTCCTCTTTCTCTCCACTTCTCTCTTCTCGTCACTTCATTTTACTTCACGTCAAGTCACGTCACGTCACGTCACTTTCATTTTCGCTTTCACTTAATTCACTTCCACTTCCACTTTCACTTTTACCTTCACTTTCACTTTCACTTTTACCTTCACTTCCACTTCCACTTCACTTCACTTCCACTTCACTTTACTCCTCGCCTCTTCTCGCCTCTCCTTTCCTCTCCTTTCCTGTTCCTCAACCCATTCAAACAATTTCTTATTTTATTTTTCTAATTTAGTACACATCAACTACAAATTTCCAACGGACCCCGATAAACAAGAGCTCCGCTGGCATTTCCTAAAGCCGCGAATTGACAGCAAATGCCGCGCTCAGCGACGAATCCAACGCGACCACCAAGCAGTCGGTGATGGTCACCAGTCCAACAAAGAAAGACCATTTAGAAGCAAGCTTAGTAAACCATCTATAGATCCCAGAATCAAGGAAGAACTTCTCTATGGCTTAATGAAACCAGACGGTGCATCGAATGTTCCTTCGCAAGTTGTGAGTGAAGTTATCAACGGTTCACGAGTTAACGGAGACACGGGGAACTCGGAAATGAGTGGAAATGTTCAAACGTCAGTACTCGGCCAAACCTCTCTTGCGTATGGGAATAGTAAAACGTTATAGGTTGATCAAGAAAACATTTTAGATAAAGACAAATTGCCAAATTTCTTTGTATGATTTTAGGGGAAAAAATTAGATTCATAGCCCTTCCCCAAATTCGCTTGAGTGACCACGAAACAATAGCTTCAAGTCGAGGTTGGACTTGATAAAATACAGTAAATGTATGAACACAGCAAGTCAAACCTCGACTTGAAACCATTGTTTAGCGGTCACTCAAGCGAATTTGGGAAAGGTCTATTAGAAATGGATATTTTAGGAAAATATTTTATAGTCCCGTATCCATATATATCTAACCAAAAATGTACGTGGAAAATAATGAAACCCCTTTAGCTTGGCCTCGCTGTTTCTCCATTTCAGACCACGCCAACGTGGCATCCTCTTAAAAAAATAGTTCTTTGTTTGAGTTGTATTCATACAGAAAGTTCCTAATCCATGTTCATTTGCATACACCTATTTCAAAAAACATCGGTTGGATATCAGAAATCAGAAATCTGAGACCGATTGGAATTTTGGGGGAACTGGGTGTTTTCTCGTTAAAAATTCAATATACACTTACCCAGATAGTTTGCCAGCGCAGATCATCGCTCAAAGTTAGTATATCAAGATATTGTTTTTTTGCGAACTACTAATGAAAACCACAAAAAATTCACAGCTTACAACCCACAATTCCTTTCGGTCTCAGATTTCAGATCTCCGACCGACAACGTTTTTTGAAAAAGGTGAACACCTATTCAAAAAACGTTGTCATCGCCAAAGGCGATAGGCGATAGGTCATTCCGACATGGAAATGGTTTTGCTGAATACAAAGAACATCGAATCGGTCTCAACACTAAAGTCCATACTCTTGATGAGAATAAGAAGCAGAAAGACAAGTCATTCCAGCTATTCTTGGATCTTGTAATGACATATATCCTATCGCTTTTTGTCTATCGCCTATTGCCTATCGCCTTTGGCAATTGCAATGACAACGTTTTTTTAATTAGGTGTATTCTGCTCATGCGCAACCTGAACAAACAAATTATATTATTTACACGTGGTCTACTATTCTATCACGGTCTATCACGAATCCTACGCTCTGATTGGCTGAGCAACGTGATCTATTAGGTGATAGACCACTAGTAACAAAAAGTGCAGGTTTTGAAAACAAAAACAACGCGAAAAATAAATTCTTTCAGCCTAATTTCAAAATTGCATCGAGTTTTGCACACCTATTAGTAGGTCAATACTAAAACAATTGGACGTCTCCCCCTCATCAGGCCTACGACTCGTAAAACATTCGGGCTGCGGTTCTAATTGTCAATTAGCAGCTTCCGATGCACGTGTTAGTGAAGAACTGCTGTGAATGATTCAACGACACTTATGCTAATGATTGCTCATACAAGTGTCATTGAACCAACCCTTACAGTTTATATTTTTAATTAAAAAAAAGAAATATATTGAAATGGGAGAAGGTTATGCCTACGAAATAGTGCGTTGTGATTGGTTGTTGGAGTGGGTAATATTTAGTTTAAAGGTAGAAACTGTACTTAACGTCGGTAAAGTCGCCTCCATTCCCCGCGCGTCCAAGGCCGGAAAAACCCGACTCGACTTAGTCTGGAGGGAAAAGAGGGACTGTTCGCAGTCTAGTACGTAGTTCCTTCAGCTTTGTGGCTGGTACTCCCCCTCTCYCCATCAGTGACTGTTTGAGAGTATTTAAAGCTACGTACACGGATTAGAGAGAAGTCGAAACAGACGTGGAGATAATAATCTAATAATTTATAGTAATTTATTACACATATTGCGCAATTATCAATATGGGGAATTTTCAATCGCGGATTGAACCGCGTAACTCGATCTACCTCTGACCGCGGTCTGGTCTCCTGGGAGACCGGATTTGCAAAACAATAAATTATAAGAAAACATGATTATGACAACAAGTAGAAAAATAAATGGGAAAAAACTAATAAGTAATTTACCGTCCTAAATAAGGAAAAACTGACCTCCCCTCACGGCCTCGGTCCGAGTCTCTATCCTCACGTGCACGCATTTTTTTCTCCGCTTTATATCCGGACCGACTCTTTTTCCATCTCTTCAATTTCATCTCCAGCCAAATCCCACTTCTAAAGCATCAAATCCCATTTTGAAACCTTTATGCGATGCTGTTGTCAATAAAGAAATTCCACAAGCTTCTGGCTTCCAATCAGTGGGGTTTCCCAGAGCCGACGATCGATTTGTCAAAGAGTAGGGTCTGGGAACGAGAATGAGGAATGCTTGTAATTATAACTGCGGAAGATTCCTCCAATGGAATAGAAAGCAAAGAAATTGAGAAATACATTGAAGGTAAAAGTAAAAATGAATCGTGATGCAGAATAAGAATTTCCCACGCGGGAAAAAAATGCTTGACCGTGAGACCTGGGTCCTAAGATTACCGCTGACCAGAGGACACACTTACTCAAGTCAGTCATGGTCACAAATTTTGAAAAACTTTAATTTGCTGTGGAAAATTGAACTTTTCAACCATGAAAATGCCAGCATATATGGTAAAGAGCACTAATAATCAAATATTTACTAGATAACTTATGATATTTTTTACCAATTTTGTCTTTTTTTGTTCCTAAGGAGGTTGATAAAGAGAAGAATTACGTGGATAATTTGTTATGTTTGGATCAAGAAACAAGACTTGAAGCAGTTTCGTGAGTTCACCTCGTATTCTACCTATTTTATTTGCCATTTTTTTTCCTATTAAATATTCGAATTATTCACTAACAGGCTTTATCTTTTATTAAAATTAAATTCAATCCTAAGTTCAAGGCTATAAAATGCAGGCATTTGGGCTAGATATATTATATGTAATAATAATAACAATACCTGTAGTACTTAATGTTTACTATTGCCAACCATTTTCACAAAAGCTGGTCACAAGTTGCTTTGTGTCACCAGCCAATCGATCTCTGGTTTAGCTGGCATAGGAATATAAAAGCCTTATATGTGTTACGTCTTACAACACAACAGTGTTGTACTATTATAAATTTTAAAATAATCTGAAAATGATCTATTATTGATGTGGTAGGAGCATCAAGAATATTGTGATTGGCAACAAGGCAAAAAAGAGTCTTCTGATAGATCTTGGGATTATTCCAAGATTAATCGAGGTCATGTCCAGAGAAGATGCAAGTCCTGAATTTGTTGTTGAAGCAGTGGTGTTGCTGGGTAGTTTTGCAAGAGGTGAGAGATTCACCATTTTCAGTACATCAGTTCACTGGCCAAACACAAAGCATTCAGTTGAGGTTGCAAGGTTCAAATTTAAATAATCCTTTGAAAGTACCTTGGTGAACCAATGTACACTGTATAATAATAATAACAATAATAATAATTATTATTATTATCATTATTATAATAATACTGTAATTATAATAATAATAATCGCATGACAGCTGTTACTGGATTGCAAAAAAAATCGGACTTATATATTTTCAGAATTGATTCTTAAGATAGTGAGTTGAATGTGACTCATTAGTCAGGTGTCCAACTAACAGACTAACCAAAGGTAGCTTATTATTATTATTATATRTATGTTATTTACCGGCCAGGAGGTCCGGATAGGGAAAAACTGTGCCCGAGGTCTTGAATATACGRACCGAGGCTGTTAAGCCGAGGTCCRTKTTCAAGACCGAGGGCATGGTTTTTCCCTATCCGGACCGACTATAGGAAGGTAAATAACTTATTTATTTTTTCCCGTAATTTCTTTACTTGTTTAYGTAATCGTTTTGTGTTTTCGTTTAGCGGCAAAGGATACCGGACCGCGCTCGCGGGCAGATACTGACAAAATACCGCCAGCTCAAACAACCAATTGGAATGCATGATTTTTTAGGATACCGGACCGGAAAAAAATAGTATTAATTATTAAATTATTATTAATTTTCCAAAGCAGGGACAAAGGAAAGTATTGATGTTCTTCTACGGCACCATGCTCATGAGGTACTTCTCAAAGGTACAGTTGACTTTATTAATTGCCAGAATTATTGATATGACTTCACCAAGATGAACGATGAGGTTAACTAGAATATTTTGCCTCGAAGAATCTGGCAAGAAAAAAGTTCTTGCTCAAAACCCCTTTCAAAAATTGCTCCATAATTAATTGTTATGCACTTGATGTAAACAGTAACCAAAAAATTCTGACGTCACAGGGAACCCGGCTTCTTTTAGAAAATTAACTTTGCTCTTTGTGGGTTTCCTGTGTTGTGATCAGTTTCCTTTTACATAAGCTGTAATCAGATCTGCGCGCTGTAATCAGATCTGCATGCTGTAATCAGATCAGCGCTGTAAACTGACAGGCAATTAAATTCAAATCAATAACCGTTGGTAACGCACTCTCTAGTAAACACTCAAAAGAAGAGAAGGGCTGCAACAAAGCAAGTTTTATCGTATGATCATCACCTCCAGTTGCTCGGACCAGCTACTTTAGTACAACAAGCAGGAAGTCTTGATGATTTTCATGTTTCGATTGCGTCATGTTGTTCGAAAATATTCAAGATGTAAAACCCTGTAAACAAGGGAATTCAAATTTTGTGTTTKGGTGAGTAACGTTTATTTTCAATTTTTTTAGAATAATAATATCAGATTTGCGGCACACGCTTAGAAATCACGGGAAATTTTGAACGATACCGGAAATGTCCAGAAGTGGTCCGAGCAACTGGAGGTGAACATATAACTAAAACTTAGCTTTTAAATATCACTTTCTAGGATCGTTACTTTTACGAGTTCAACAAAATAAAACATCCCGACCCAAAGTTTATTCATTGAGCAAACATTTTGTGGGTTTTTTATTAATAAATTACCTTAATGAATAATTTGAACAGGGGTTTTAAAATTGGACACTTGCTTTGTTGCAGCCCTTCTCCTCCTTGAGTGTTTACTAGGAAGTGCGTTACACACCACAGGCAACCAATAAGAAACAAAACACCAACGGGCTGTCAGTTTACAGCGCCGATCTGCTGCGCCGATCTGCTGCGCCGATCTGCTGCGCCGATCTGCTGCGCCGATCTGATTACAGCGCGCAGTTCTGATTACAGCTTATGTAAAAGGAAGCCGATCACAACACAGGAAACCCACAAAGAGCAAAGTTAATGGTTCCCTGTGACATTGTCTTTGAATTGAGCTTCTGTGTATACTATAAGAATGCTAGTGCATCATGGGATATTCCGATATTTTGCCACTCATTAAACTTCGCTAACAACTACATAGTTTGTGCAATGACAATGGAAGAAACCGAACAGCTTTGTAGAGTCTTTGTTGATTGCATGCACTATCCAGTACCAGTGCTTAAGGTCCCTACTGTATATAATGATGTTGATGATGATGATGATTATGTTGATGATGATGATGATGATGGCAATGATGATGATGATGATGATGATGATGATAAATTAATTGAATAGTATTTAGCTGTGGCATATTTCCACTGATATTCAGATTGGAATTTAGAAGTTGATTTTTGCTGAGGGAGGAAATGGGAGAACCAACAAACAACTCTACTCACATACGACACTGAGCCCAGCAGGGCTTGGACACAGGTTGCATTGGTGACAGGCAAGCACTCTCAGTGCTATGCTACCAGTGCTTCCCAGCCCACTGACCTGCAGTACTCACAATGATAATTGGCAAATATTTTACTACTACAGATTTCATGCTACCTCATGCAAAGATGGCCTAGCTTATGTTTAACAGTTCCAGTTCATGTTACCTCGGGATCAAAAATTCTTACCAATAAAAGTCTTGATATTTTTTCCAGGAATTTGTCATGAAAATAGACAAATAGTAGAAGCATCGGCAAGATCTCTACGGACCCTGTATTTATCTAACCAAACACCTTCTGACCCAATATATGAGGTTGGTGTAGAACTGTTAAGTTATTCTTTGTCATTCTGTCAGCAATTCAACTTCTTAATCATCTGAATGTTCCCTCTTTGCCGTCTTGTAAACTTATTCGATTAGCATAGTGTATATATTTGGATTTTGTAAGCCCATTTTGAAAAGAATGCCAAATGTTGAATTTGTGTCAATTCATTTATTATACCAAATGACCTTGGCTACATTGAACTAATCAACATAAGACCAGTCAGGAGTACTGAGGAGGAGTTTGGTGTTTTGTTGTCAATTCCTGCTGGACATTGTCCTTGRCCTACCGTTATATTTAGCCCTCTTACTACAGCATACAAGTATGTACAGTACTGTAAATCATTCGTTAGTGATATAACAGACTCTTCTCAAAATGATCTTGAATGCAAAACTAGCATGGAAATACATAAGAAATCCCACAAATTTCATTGAGAAAAAGTGTGATTTCTTTTGTGTTTTCATGTTATCCTCACATCCATGAGAAGGGTCCATTGACGAACCAGTCATATACTGTAATGTCTTTTATCTACCAGAACCCAAGTGTAGTCCCTCATCTAGTAGAACTCCTGTCTGGTTCCTATACTGAAGCTGAAAGTGCAGCCACCATCATTTCCAAATGTTGTCAGAGCTCTTCACATCAAGCTCTTTTGTGCAACACAGGAGCTATTGATGCTTTGCTGCCTCTGTTGTCGTGCAATATCCCTAAGATTCAGCTACCAGCATTGCATTGTTATGCAGCTGCGTCACACCAGAATGGCTCTGTTTCATTGGCTATGATGTCAGGTAGGTCACATTGCTTTGAAGTTGATACTAAACAACTACCGTCCTGGTCCTCATGATAAGCCCTACACTTATACTAATTTGTAATGGATTTTTCATGAACAGGAAGGCTTATATTTGGGGAAGGGGGGTGAGAAGCTCTTAACCAGGATGGAAACGTAGGCTAATTATAACTGGTGGTGGCCTTACAGCTGGCAAGATATTTGCATGAGTAGCCTAGTGGGTTTATAACCAAGAAAAGGGGCTGACTTAGATCAGTCCAGAGGTTGTTTTATGATTTGATAGCTGTGAGTTAGTTATGCCCTGACTTAGATCAGCCCAGAGGTTGTTTCTGGGTTTGATCTGTGAGTTAGCCATGCCCTGACTTAGATCAGCCCAGAGGTTGTTTCAGGGTTCTATCTGTGAGTTAGCCTTGCCCTGACTTTGGTCAGCCCAGAGGTTGTTTTATGATTTGATAGCTGTGAGTTAGCCATGCCCTGACTTAAAGATCAGCCCAGAGGTTGCTTCAGAGTTTTATCTGTGAGTTAGCCTTGCCCTGACTTTGGTCAGCCCAGAGGTTGTTTCTGGGTTCGATCTGTGAGTTAGCCGTGCCAGGACTTTGATTGACCCACAGTTTGTTAATCAGAGTATGCCACTGGAAATTTTGTATACTGAGTGACATGTCTGAGTTTTATATGGTTACTAACTGCTGCTCTTGATCTGTAGCTTCTTATCAAGGACAAGGCCTTCTTGAAGTTCTGACAAAGTTATTATCTAGAGACGGACCAGATAATATTCAGCTAGGAGCTGCAAAATGGTAAGTACAAAAAATGGGCTTCTTCCACKCACTAATACTTCTTGATTAGTTCATTCACAGCTGTTATTTGAACGGTTATTCACATTCATTGATGCGAGCAATTGCTCAGTCCAAGCCAGAGGCTCATGTGTAAGCTTTCCACACCAGTTCAAATTGGAATTTAGTTGTTGACTTTTGCAGAGAGAGGAAAACTTGAGGACCTGTAGAAAAAACCCTCAAACATAGGAGAGAGAAACAATCAACTTTACTCACATGCAATGCCAATTTCAGGAATCAAACCCCAGCGGCATTGGTGAGAGGTCTTACATAATGGTGCACACCATATAATTAATGCATGAGAGACGTTCAGTCATTTCATACAAGGCTCATAATTTACCTATAATGCATGCTCTCTTTTAACTAATAGTTTTCAAAATATGAACATTTGACATTATTTTCCTGTTCCAGTTTAACCAATATGTTCAGAGCAGGTGCCTACACAGCAGCAGACAACCATGCACTTCTTCTTAAAGTAAGTTCATTAAGTACTTGTAAAACAGCTAGAACTTCTCAGCAAYATAATCATTGCTACCCCTAATGAATTTTTAAAATCCCATAGGCAGTGGACTGCTTGCAAGCTAGTCAAAATACTGAAAAATCTGTTCCATAAATATGTGATTATAATCATTCTTTCTATCATGATGTATAAAATTATGATTTCCACAATGAATTATATTTTCCATTCCATATGAAAAGCTCACAGCACGAATGCAGTGATTTGACAAGGCATATAGAGTGTGCGCAACCATGTGACTACAAAATCCCTTGAGATATGAATAACATTGAAATATCTGCCATCTTGGTTGATCTAACGAGAGAAGCTAACGAGGAATGCTTTGTTATTGTCAACCAAGATGGCGGCTATGACGTACACCTAACATACACCTGCTCTATTGCATTTACTCTGCATCCAGTCAAATACCTGGTACATGGTGTAGCTGAGTGTCTACATAACTAATTTTGACCTACTTTTGACTTTTGACTTCTGAAATTTGTTTTTACTACAAAAAAATAAACGCACACACCAAGCATGAGCTGCGTTGCTCTGTTCTTAACACACATAACTTGTTGGTATGTCTGTTTTTACCACAGCTTTTGACCAATCAGAAAGTGAAAAAAATAATTACATTTTGTGGTAAAAAACATGTTGAATTATTTCAGTGATGGGAAAACACTAGCTTTATGTTTATTAAACTAGAGTTTGGTTCACAGGTTTTGAGTACAACTGTACGGCTATGCAGAACAGACAAACCAGCCTGTATGAGAGCTGAAGCTGCTGAAACTCTTGGTAATTATCTATAACTAGTCTTACAATTTTCTCAGTTTGATAGGAATTTAGCTTGTTAGGTTTTGTGGATGGGGAAAATGCTGTATGTGAATAGAGTTGTTTGTTGGTTCTCTCCTGCCTGTCCTTTGTGGATTTTTCTCTGGTTTTCCTCCCTCAAAAATCAACTTCTAAATTGGATTTCAATCTTGGGGTTTCACTTTTGGAGCCTGACTCTTTTGTAATAGTCCCACAGCCAATGCAGATAGATAGAAAACAGAGAAAACAGAGAACCCATAGAAAAGCCCTTGAATCAAGGAAGACTCCCAACAGACTCTACCCACAAGGGATGCTGAGTCCAGGAATCGAATCTGAGACCTCAGGGAGGGGCAAGCGAACTAACACCACAACCATCCTTATAATTTAATCATTGTGTTTGTTTATATTCTATAGCTTATCTTATAGAGGAGGATATTGAGCTGCAGAGATTGGCTGCTATTTCAGACCACCTTATCAAGACAATGATTGGTTTTCTCCAAAAAAATGATATGGATAATGATACCTATGCTTTGATGAGAGAGGTAAGGGAACAGTGCTTGTGGGTAGGGGTGGAGGGTGAGGTAGAGAATGATATGGATAATGATACCTATGCTTTAATGAGAGAGGTAAGGGAACAGTGCTTGTGGGTAGGGGTGGAGGGTGCAGGGGGTGGGGTGGAGAATGATATGGATAATGATACCTGTGCTTTGATGAGAGAGGTAAGGGAACAGTGCTTGTGGGTAGGGATGGAGGGTGCCATGGGTGAGGTAGAGAATGATATGGATAATGATACCTATGCTTAGATGAGAGAGGTAAGGGAACAGTGCTTGTGGGTAGGGGTGGAGGGTGCTATGGGTGGGGTGGAGAATGATATGGATAATGATACCT